AATATACTTAAAAAATTTTAATTTAATAATATCTGCATGATATTAAAAAAATATTAAATATTTTGTTAGATGATACTAATAATCTATTGAGAAATCACGAAGTGCATTGATTTTTTTTCATCAACCTTCCTTTTATCACCTTGAACCTTTTTTTTTGTTTTGACGTAATTTTTTTAAAAATATTTGCAGATTCTGTTAACATAACCATTTAAAACTGGATTTAAAAATATAAAAATAGCAATTTCTTTTATTAAAAAGCATAACATTTATCACACTTTTTTATTTTTAAGATAAAAAATATTTTTTTAATAAAAATGTGTTACTTTTAATTGCTTATCTTTAACCTCAACAAGTTAAGGTTAACATTTTCTGAATTTAACACTATAATGATAATAATAGTAATTTTTTTATAAAAAATATAAAAAATATAAAATTTATTATAATTTTTATTTTTAAGATAATAAATGGTTTTTGTCTAATAAATTTTTTCACTTTTACTAACCTATGTAAAGTTTTCAGGAAAAAAAAGAGATGTATGGCATGATTTCTCGAAAAAAAAGAAAATAAATAAATATTTTATTATTTTAAATAGAAATGATTAAAGAAATTATATTTTTTTAAATTACAAATAAAAAATTTAAAAATTCAAATTTATGATTGAAATAATTAATTTTATAGTTGAATCTTTATTTTCATTTAATTTTACATTACCCAAATAATTGAATTAAAAAAATTTTGGTAATTAAAAATAAATCATGATAATTTGAAAACTTAAATTTAAAAACTTCTTGCCCACAAACATACGTTTACTGGATTTATGCATGTTATTTCAAAACATGAATATTTGTCATTGCCGGTGCACATGCTCGTAATCATGTGTAAAACGTAATAATATGTAAATATCATATTAAGAGCCAAATTGGGGTTTTTTATTTTAATATTATAAATTTAAAAACTATTTATCAAAATATATTAAATTTGAAACTATTTTCCTGTCTGGGGTGAGGTGCCAACGTGGCAAAAGGTTTCGCCAAAATGACTGGCGAAAGTAATTATTTTATAAATATTTTATATATTATTTCGCCAGAAAAAAAAGTGAAAAATAAAAAGTTGAAACCACGTGTCAAATTATGAATAGTTTTGTCATTTGATTGACGAAAAGATGACAATGTTTCGCCACCACCAGTGCAAAAACAATTGGAAAACAACATGTGGCGGTAGCGGGCAGAGTTTCGCCAATGGAATTGCGAAAGTCACCAAGCAAAAAATTACTAAAATTACATAATCAACGGTTAGGAGTTTTTAAAACATGTGGCATAAAATTACTTTACATTACCTCCTACATTTTCGGTTACTTGTATATTTAAGTTGGACTGAAACTCGCCTTCAATATCAGTAGAAGAACTGTCTAACAAAATTTCTGCTTCATCATCTTTATCATTGTAACTCTCATAAACTGAGTCTTCATTATCCTCATCAACATCATTTCTAACTCCTTTATTGCAACAAATTTATCATTTTTAATTTCAACAATTAAATATATTACTAAAATATATAACAACATAATTATTTTTACCTGCACTATAATGACGATTGACATCAGTTCCATCGTTTTGTTGTGCAAGTGATAAATTTAAATTCATCATTTGCAAGGGCACAGATGAACTTCCACCAACAGCAATATCTACATATAACTCAATAACATTTCTACTAGATTGTTGTTAAAATGCACTTATCATGCAATCAATATCTTCATCATCACATATTTCCAAAGCTGTATACTGTCTAATATTTTCATCAATTACAAAACGAGAAATTAATTTAGAAATAACTTGATTCTGATTGAGATTAAGTTTCAAATGAATTTTTCTTTTCAAACCTTCAAAACTCACTCCTCGCTTTATTTTAATTACTTTCTTACTTCCTTCAAAACTCACTCCTTCATTTCTTTCATAGATTCTACCATTCCAATACATAATAATAACAATTTCACTCATCCTGCATTTTTACAAATAAACTTTAATTAATATTTAATTTTTAGGAGAACAAAATTAAAAAATACAATGCTTATTTATATACTCAATAATTTATTTTATTATAACTAACTAACTTCATTATTTAAATTTAAATAAAAATAAATATTCATAAATTTATTAAATCATACTGACCTGAATTTCTTTCAAGTTCTTCTTCTTCAGTGAAAAATTAGAGGCTCGGCGGGAGGTATATATAGGATGAACTTTTGCCATATTATCTGCGAAGGTGTGGGCATGGGTCATACCTGTTTCGCAACTTAGCTGGCGAAATAGTAAAAAGGTTTTGCCATTTATACTGCGTAATTATACAGATTTTAACACGTGTCAGTGCCCACAAGTTTTGTCAATCTTCTAGCGAAAATATTTTTTAATTTCGCCGTCACCTTTGCAAAATTAATCAGAACAAGACACGTGGCCTATTTTCGTTCTTCTTTTAGCGAAACTTGATCATGTTTCGCTACCTACTTTTGCAAAACCCTTTGGCAAAGTCACATCGGACATGGAAATAGTTTCAAACTTAATATATTTTAATAAATAGTTTTTAAATTTACAATATTAAAATAAAAAAGCCGCCAAATTGGGTACTTGAATCTCTAACACCAGCATATATGCTTTGCTGTTCTTATTTCATTTATCACGCTCTGATATAGATGCTTTTGGGCCTCCTTTGTTCATGTAAAATTGTCAGTTTTTTTATAAACACTTTTTTTTTTACACTCAATGTCTAAGCTAACTCTTATTTTCTTTATTCAAATCATTATGATATCCTTTTATGAGATTAGTCGGAAAGAAATTTAAAATTAATAGATCAACCATATATTTATTATTATTGATAATAATATATTTTTAATTTAATATTATATAAATATGTCCTCTCTTTTATTTAACTTCAAAATCTCTGCCAGTGGTATGGTAAATATTTCTCATGCATTTATATGGTTTTATATTATAATATACAATAAAAAAATTGGTCACAGAAAATAGGTGCTACAAAGACAGGAGTGGATCCAAGACAAACTCTGACTTTCCACTCAGTTAAGTAATTAAAAAATAGCTAAAACATTTTAATTTTTGTATTTTAATGTTTTCCCTTTTTAATGATATATTTGTGTTTATATTTATTTATTTTTATATTTAGTTTCTCTTATTATTTTCAACCAATAAAAAATAACATAACTAAGAAATCATATAAAAAATTAAATTAAAAATAAAATTTACAAAAATATAAGAACTAAAAAATTTATTTAAAAACGTTAAAACAAAAAATTTGTTAAAATATAAGATTAAAAAAATATTTAAGTCTTGAAAAAATTCCTAAAACTAATAAAATCCAAGCCTATTGTTGGCCTGGGGAATTAAAATAAATCTAATGCTTATTCTTATATTCTGTGTAAAATCGTCCGGATTCTCAACAAACATTAGAGGGGTCGACTCTGTGCACATCATCCAATGAGTAGATGAGTTGAAGATGTTACTACGCATGATGGGAAGTTGAGTATTGTTTCATATTGCAGAGGAACAAACTGTAGGTTTTTACATCCAGTTTGGTTCCTGTGAGTCCTGTTCAGGAAGAGATGTTTTGGCATTCTGATCATTTTTTTTTCATTGAAACAAGTTCCAACCACGATGGTTTGGCATGAGAGGTAGAGCCAAATGCGCCGATTTCCTTGTTTGTCACCATCTCTTTCAAATGTTTGTTCATTCGCGTCTTACACAAGGTGGGTTCACCCCTTTGTGTGCCGGTTGGTCCTTAATTAATATAAATAAGAATTGGGTGTCGCATTAGCTTTTTACAAGGTGACGACGGGATAAGATTTCAAATAAATAGGAAAACCAGCCCTTGAATGGCATGCTCCCTATCTGTCTCAATTGCTCTTCTATCTTACTGAATCACTCAACTTCGATTCCCGCATCATTTGCATACATTTCTTATCCGGGATAAGGGGGGCGGAAAAGGCATATAGAATGGTAACGGCTGAACAGAATCAATGTATTTGTGGTTCGAATCCACTTCTAAAAGCGGGTGAAGGTGGGGACATTAGCAACCTCAACTCGAACCTCTCCTCAGAATGATCCTTTTCCAGTGCAGAAATGATTCACTTTTAAAATGAGAGGAAATCTCTGTCTCTGACTTATGCAGTCTTCCAATGTTCAACTGCATTTGGCACACTTGCATTGGACATCATTAGCAGAGTATATTACTCTCCTCTCCTTTAAAACATGTTAACCTTGTACTCAGCTCTCTAATTTTAAAATCTTTGGCTCTTTTTGGCTATTTTTTTAAAAAAAATTATAGGAAAAAATCAGAATAAAATATAAATAAAACTTCTCCTATAAAATAAAAATAATTTATATTTATCTATTTTTTGAAAAGTTCAAATTAAATTTTTATTTAATTTTTCTAAAATTAAAAAAAAAAATATTTTTAACATAAAGAAATTTTTTATTCATTATTTATACTACTTTTTTTATATAAAAAATTCTCTAAAATATCACTTAAACAGAACCTTTAATTCTTTCGATTAACAATGGCGAATAATGACTACTTCTCTTAATAATGTTTTCTTCTTTTCTACAACTATTAACGTAGTGATAAGTCACATATCGAACACTTCCAGTACATTCAACATAAAGTTTTAATATTTAAGGCAGAGAATATTAAAAAAAAGAAGAAAAAGCATAACATATATTTACTCCAATCACAGTCATAGAACTATAACCTTTTATTTCTTCTTCATCTTCCATTATTCTAATATAATTGAAACACATCCTATTTATATTTATTTTATTTTGTCAAATAATACAATTGAAACTCTAGACATGTAGGAGTTGTTTAAAAAAAAGATTTAGATGAGATAAAAAGAAAAGACAAATTTTATATTTTAAATAAATATATTTAAAATTAATATTTATTCAAAATAAAAAATATTAATTAATATATTAATTATTTTTTTTTATCATCGTAAGTAATATATAATTATTTTAATTTAAAATTAAAAAATACATCCTCTCTTATCTTCTCTTCCCAAACATAGTCTCAGGAGGTGGGTTTCATCCCTTCGCATTTAATCATGGTGGCCTCACTAATCTAGAACCTGTTGAACCCGCGTATCTCACAATGCCTTAAAAAACGTTCTTAAGGCATAGTGCTTATACTATCCCTCGGTGTGCTGTTTGCAGCCCTTTGGTCCATAATGCTTGGTGCCGCGCCTAACAGTCTCGTTGCACAAGTAGCAGTAATGGCTTTGGCATGCCCAGCAAAACATGTGATTATTGTTTCCAATCTGTTGATGAAAATTCAAAATGGCAATGGAGAAAGTTGTCAGTGGTGACAACATAACTGTCTTCCAACAGACAAATGTGGGATTCCTTTATTTTAGAGCTCCAAAATTATATGTTTTCCGTGGAATAGTCTTCCTTAAACCACTTTATTAGTGGTAACAAGTTTGGTTAGTTTGTATGAGGTCATAAGTTCAAACCTTCAAAATCATTAAAACAACAGTAGGAGATGTGAAAGGGCAGACAGAGTGAAATGGAAAATGTTTAGACGATTTCTTAAGTGATAGCTGATTTAGTGTAAAAGGTGGTAAGAAAAAAGAATATATTGAATTATAATGCACAGTGTGCCTCCCTGTTCATGACCTGTACCTAGGTATTCACTATAAAAAGTCGCCTCTTTAGTACATATGAAAACAGAGTTCACAGGAACTGTATCACAGCCTAAACGAATGCATAATCTCAATGAAGCCATATACTCTACGAATTCAGTAACTCAACAATAATAAATACATTCAATTTATTCAGAAAATAGATATTTACATGATGTATTTTTGCAAGATAAAAACTGAAAGCTTTACTCACCTTTGCATTAAATTGACGACAATTAGGACATGCTGAGCCACGTTGAGGAAAGATCTCTGCCTGTAATTGTCCTACAGCCTGGCGATGATTTATGCGCTCTTGCCAGGACTCAACCATTTCTTGAGGGAACAATTCACACGAACCATCCCTTGAATGGGGGAAAAAATGATAAGTTCCAAAGAAATTCTGTAAAATGGAATCTTAGGTGCCAGATGCAAACCGTGAGAAAGAATTTCTACAGTGCTTTAAGAAAATCGAATACCTGAAATGTCCATATGGATCTGATGCATCAATTGCTCTGTTGCAGCGGTAACAGAAGTATTGTCCACAATTACCACATGTCATTTTGTTACAACCTTCAGTTCGCGAAATTGCCATGTCACAAGAAGGGCACAGCTTGGAATCACGATGAATTTCTTTCATACTGAGCATTTCATTAATTTTTTCACGTTCCCTACGCTTCTGGTCTTCCTTTAGTTGTGATGAATTTTGACGATCCTATAACAAGGACAAAAAAAAAATAAGGAAGCATTGTTTTGGTTAAAAAATTACCCTCAAAAATCAAGAAAAAATATAATAGAATCAGAAAACATATGGTGAAGAACGTGCCATTGTGAACATCAGGAGCAATAGCAATTAGCAACTGACTAGACAACGAAAGGACCAATAACTACAACAGTTGGTGTTAGAGATTCCCAACTATCAACAGTTAGTTACGGTGAAGTATTAATAGTATGTTAGAACAATAAGAGAAGTTGGAAGGATAGAGTCCTAGCTTAAATAGGAAGAGGTAGGTGGAGGAGAGTGGCATGGAAGTTTATTAGCTTTCGGAATTAAGCAGTAGCTCAGTTGCAGAAAGGGCTTGCCTTTTGTTCAAAGGGACCCTTGGAAGGAGAATAGTCTCTTTTTTTCTGTTCAGATTTGATTCAGTAATAGCTTTTTTTCCCTACCACTTTTTTCAAATCTCATTTGTGAGTTCATAAGACACTATATGCAAGAACTTAAACTGTTAATGTTATGAACCACAGAAAGAAAGATTTGAAATTGATAGAAACAAAGTTAAAAAAATTTGACTGAACAAATAAGAATACAACAAAAATAGCCTTATCCCACAGCTGAACAAATGAGAATATGAGAAATAATCCTCCTCCAAGAGTTTTTCCTTCACAACCACCCCCCTCACCCTCAAATCTTCCTAACAGTTTAGCACATGATCGGATAGCAATTAACATGAAATTGTGCTGGACCATCCTAATTGAATCAATATATAAAAATTTTTGTGTTTGAAGTAGGGAAACCAAAAGCATTCAACCATTTAACACATGTTTGGCTCAAGCTTATTTTAAGAAAATAATTGCTTATTATTAGCAGCTTTGTGAGAGAGATTTTGAAAAAAAAGCAATTATTACTCTGAAAGAAGCCCATCCAAACATTCACTTTGTAAATATCCGGATAGTAAACAACAAAGAAGTCCCAAATGCAGTCACTTAACTATCTTAATGACTGTATGAACATACAACTCTTATAGGATCTAAAATGACTGTGGTTATACAAGTAAGTTAATAGATGGAAAAAAAGAGAGTATCATTTGCAACTCTTAAAGTAATGAATGACACAACTAGAGAGAGAGAGAGAGTAGAAGTCCAAAACAATCAGCTAAACTATATGTCCAATCATAAAACCGGATACTAAACCTGCAAAATCTGAATCTTCATATCTAGGGTCATGCAGGCTATGCCAACATGGCGTCGTTCCCTGCATAGAGTACAAAAGCTAAAATAACATTTTGGGCATTGAGCATGCTGGTCTTCATCCTCTATACAAGGTGTTTCACATCTTGGGCAATAAACAACATCAGACATTGATGCAAGTGCTTTCTCCAACATCATGGATTCCCAGCGTTCACGATCTTCATCACCCAGCAAGTGTTTTAAAAGGCCAGGTGGAATCATAACCTTACATTTTGCATCAGGACATTGAAGATTACTAACGGTGCCTTCCTTTATATGTATCTGAGTAAAGGTTTGCAAGCATTTGAGGCAAAAAAAGTGCTTACATGGTAACCGGATAAACTCAGTACCTGGTAGATCATAAAGATTTTATAATGCACGTGGTGGTGCATTATAAAGTAGCAGATATATGAACCATGTTCAATATTTTAATTCTATTTGAGCATACATGGGAAAAAAACAGAATCAGGTCTTACATATAAATAATGAACCATGTTGAAAAGAAAAATTCTTTAGAAGCCAACAATGCAAAAGAAACTACACATGCATGTCAATAGAAAGAGGCAACACTGTATTAGCTCAAGTGGTAGCATTCGCTTTTCTACATAAACAATTATAGAAGTCCATAGGAAGGGGCAGAAAAAGAAATAATAGACATGAAGCCATGAAGGGATTTTATATGGTCAAAAACAATATCAGGCTTAAACTAGCATGAAGCCATGAACTTAAGAAGAAAAAAGGCCAAACACATTGTTTCATTTAACAAAATGAAAAATTCATAGTAGTCTACTACAGCATAAGCTAGCACAGATTAGTTAGATTATGTGCATGCCTGGAAAATTGTAAGAATGAGCTTTGCTTGGATGGTATAAGCAAAGTCACTTTTGGTGAAATCGGCAAAATAACACTTACGAATTAATAATCTACCCAATAATAAAGCACCAAATATTACAATTAGTCAAACTGTTAATGATTCACCAACAAAAAACTTCTAAAAAAACTTTTTATGAGAAGTGATGATCAAACATACAGTCCATAGCTACCAAGAACATGGTATGTGGGTATAGGTACACTGTTTGTCACTTTTTATATGATTACAAGACTTTCTTTAAAGATAATCTAATATGTCGCATGTGAAATCATGAATTTGGGAAACAGTACGCAAGGTTATTCAAAGGATTATGCAACTTTGATATAGTAGAGAAGTTGTGAATTGCAATGGTAGGCTAAGTGTTGAAATTCAAAATTGCATCTTTGTACAAGACCAAGTCACAATTTCCTTTGAAGAATTTTCAGATGATGGAGGAGGGGAGCTTAAAGCCAGCAGATCTGAATTGTGTACTCTGGGCGTCTAAAATACTAATTACTGATATATACTTAAGAAAGTGTATAAATTATGTCAGACATAAATTAGAAATTACCTGGATATTCACTAAAGCAAATGCTACATTCGTGCAATTCGTTGAGGAAGTATTCATGGTGTCTCTCATCATTGTAACTTCGTAAAAATGGAATGTCAACTTCAATGCACCCAGCTCCAGAAATAACGCGCTCATCCCCAAGATGATTCATGCCATAAGGACCAAGTGTAATTTCCTTATCAAATCCCAGATGAGAAAGAGAAGAACTATGTAACCATTCTACCCAAGGGTAAATTACTTCCAGCCCCTGTTGTTCGGCCCATATTGAATCCAACTCGGAGCACAGACTCAGAATCTTGACCGGTTCCAACCACTTAACAGAGATTGTAAAAATAGGTGGTCGATGGCTTGGGTATGACTTAGGTAATAAACACGTCAAAACAATAGGTGGAAGATATTGAACTTTGAAAGAATATGAGAAGTCATCTGAATTGCTGCTAACAATATCATGTTCATTGGAAGAGTTCAGCTTAGCTGTAATGGCAATTTCTCCCAAAACATCAATGTGTATATGTATCTGAGGAAGGGTAAAAAAAAAAAAAAACAAATTCAGCATTAAATTTCAGATATTTTGCATTGTAACAAAGAGAAATTCGCTAAAACCACGTTATTGGCTTAAAGCAAGACCTGAAAACAATGCAGGCCTTTCCATCTCTCAAGGCTGAAAACGTCTTCTCCATAAATTGACTCCACAACAAGTATCTGCAAAATAGAGAACCCTTGCCATAATATTTCTACATTAAAATCAACTAAGTCATAATTCAAGGAAACTTCTAAATCCTTTTTAATCTAATAAGTAAATTTCATTAACGAACAGCAGAAACCACGTTTTGCTACCTCATCTTGCTGCAACTGATCATTGATTCTGGTCTCTTCCTCAGACAATTCAGGTTCTTCGATGTTATTAAGTAACTTATCAAGCCTAGCATTAAAATCAATCTCACCGTCTCCTTCCTTGGTCTTGATCGAACTACAACCGCGATCGGTTTCACCTGTTACGTCACCGATGATATTGAGCTCTGAGACATCACTTTCTCCTTTACCGTGATCTTGAGGCATAACAGTGTCAGTGATGTTAACATTAACACCTTCACCCAGGGTGACGGAATGAGAGTTAGAAGAAGGCTCCTCCGCAGCGCAGTGCTGTTTTCCTCTGCTTCTTCTCATATTGTATATGCTGATTCCTTTTGTGTTGCGATATGTGTGTTGTTTTGTCTTAGGTAGTTGATAACCACATCCTAATTGGGAGAACCCCTCGTCTATGTTTGTGTTTTCTTTGTTTTGCTTCAGCCCTCACGTAACTCCACTCTTTGGGTTTTTATTAATTGTATGGTTAAACTGCACGCCGCCGTCGTAGACCAGATAGTTTTTTGCTCGTTCTTGTAAATTTTTACGCATAACATAATTCAACTCAATTTTAATTGTAATATAATATAATTTAATAATATTTATATAATATACAAAAATTACTAAAATTCTTTTAAATATACTAAAATAACTTTGAAGTGGCTGCTTTGTCAATTTTTCTCACTGACCTTTATTTGTCATGTTTCATGAACTTTTTTATGTAAATTTTTTATTTATTTTTGCACATCTTATTAACTCAATTATTTAAAATTGAATTTAAAAATATAAAACTTAATTTTTTATTAAAAAAACATTACATTTATTTTACGTTTTTATTTTTAAGATAATAAATATTTTTTAAATAAAAAATTCTCACTTGAAGAAGAGAAGAATGGAAAAACTGTGGAGGAAGGAACTTTCAAAAGTGAAGTATGGAGGCTAATGGCATAACTCCGGCGACAGCACAACAGTGATAGCCAACAGAAGTGATTTGCAAAAAAAATAAAAATTATGAGATTTATTTAATGTATGAAATATTTAATATTAATATATAAAAAAATTACAGAATTCATGATAAAACTTAATTGAAACTATAATTTTTGTTTTGCTTCATTTCTCCTTTTTCCTTTTTCTTTTTTCCTGTATTTTCAAACAAATTTTTTTTCCTCTTCATTTCTTGAATCTTTGCTCATGGTTTCTTTCCCTTTTTATTGTTAAGTTTTTTTTTTTATATAAAAAGCTAAAAATTTGAAAATTTTTCTTTTTCATATATAAAGTAACATTAGTTTAAATTCAGTAAAATTTTATTTTTCTTTTATGAATTATTTTTGAATTTTTCTCATTTTATTAAGATAAAATTTTGTTTTTTTTAAGCACTTTGATTCCATTTTCTTTTTTTAATAGTATAATTCAGAATTAAAAAAATAAAAAAAATTTAAACAAAATTTGCATATTCATAAATTTTATTAAAAATCAATTGAAAATTAAAATTATCTAAGTTTATTCTTTCAAAATATAATAAGAGCCTACAATCTCAACGTTCGAAAAATTTGTTTGTTGCAGTTCAGTTTCAATTTTGAATGTTTTATTAGAGTTTGAATTTAATGAAATTAAGATATCATTTTTTTATACTGTAAATTAATTAAAATATACTATAAACTATTATAGTTTAAAATATTGGAAGGTTTACGAAGAAGAATAGTTGTTGCAAGTATGTCCATTTTATTAATTTTTTCTAATTAAAATTAATAATATACTCTGTTATCAATTTGTATTTTCTTTGTAAAATAATAAACATTAATACATGTCTAATTGGCGGTTTCCTAAGCTTGCAGATAACAAATAAATAAAAAAAACGGTGAAATAAGAAACCATTAAAGGCATTTTCATTCTCCTGGCCCATCATGTTGATAATGGGATAAACAAACAGTTATTTATTCAATAAATATAATAGAAATAGATATTTGACAAATAGATAACATCGCAAATAGTCTTTAACCACGCTTTAATAAGTATAAAGTAACATAACTTGAAAATAGAAATAAAGATCATTGGCACAACCAAACTGGAGGAGGGAGAAGGAACTGTGCAGCTGGAAAAAGTTGACTATTGCTACCGCTTTCCAAATCAAAAACACCTATATCGTGACCACCGACATCTTTTACGTGATGATGTTCTAATAGATTGTCCGTATAGTAAATATGATTTGGTTTGGTGTAAGTAAAAGCTTGAGGTATCGTAGAAATAGATGAATTTAATCCAAGTACTAAGGCATAGTTTCCTAGATTATACAATCTGGACCACTCAGGTTCATTTTTGGTCAACATATATATGTTGAAATTATTAGTCTGATATGCATATGAACCAGGATTACGAGTAAAGGCATAATGCATCCCCACCATTAACAACCTGCCATTACCATGTGCAGCTAGATGCTTGAATTTCCAATTGTAAGGGCAATAAGATTGTGTAACTTCGCATGGAGGGGCTTTAATAACTCCTCATAGTGGTATAGGTTTCGTATGCATATCAAATTCATAAAGTTCATATATCTTTCCTTCTTTCAAAATAACATCTTCAAATTCACACCTACGTGCTTTCGTCGTTGGTATATAACTACAGCCAATCTATAGAAACCCAATCTACAATGATCACCGTATATAACTACAGCCCTGAAATCATGTGTGTCACGATCGGGAGGGGAGGAAATAATTATCTTATATACCGATGTGTTATTCATATGAATTCGCTCTACGGTTGCAGTTGAGCCATCCACCATATCCCGCATAACATATTCATTCACAAAATAATCAGGCAAATAATTAGCTATATCTGGTAAAGTTGAGATTGGGGAAAGATCAAAGCTAACCTTTGTAAATGGATTCAATAAATGCAACGATCCATCCAATAAACCAAGGATGACCAGAAATCCACAAGAAGACCCACGAAACACGTGGTTCTGCATCTGCGGCAATCTCATTTGATTAATCTCTTTCTCTCTTAGACCATGAGTTTCAATAGAATCTTCAACCGAAGGTAACGTCACTAGCCATGGATATTTGTGCTCCGGAGTCTTTGTAAGCGTCAAACTCCACGGTTTACAAACAAGACGAAGTCGAGCGTAATCCTCATAAGAGTGTATGTACTTAACAATTTGATTCAACATATCAGATTGAAGGTTCGCCCAAGGATCATCGTTACTCATCTCCCAAACTCTGAAGTTGGGAAATCCGCTATCAATGTTTCACTTGGTGTTCGTATTTATATATGTATACAGTAGAAACTCTTTAAATTAATACTTGATAAATTAATAAATTCTCTAAAATAATAAATTTATCCGGTCCCGACTTGGGTCAATATAAAAAATTAAAAAACTCGATAAAATAATAAGATAATAATTTTTCGGGAGATCCCTTTATAATTTTCGGTCACAAGAAAATCATAAATTAATAATTCATAGAAACTGAAAAAAATATATTACACTCTATTGAAATATGATTCAATAGTTGTCTGTCTTCCTTTAAAGTTTAAGTCTATTTGGAGCTCATCTGTAACTTTTCTTATTACATCCAATAGCTCAGGTGTTGTATTTTTGTATTGTATCATAAAGTTGTGAAGAGTGTTCAACGCCATAAGTGCTTCCTTTCGCGTAACAGGCTCCAAAGACACTGTATCATCTTCGTCGTCATCCTCTGCATTGTTCTCAATTATAGTACGTACAATATCTTCTAAACTCTGAATCTCCGAACATGCTTCATTTTTACCTGGGTAGTTCATTAGATTGTCGATATCCATCTTATTACGATAGCCACATTGATTGATCATAGTCTCGAAATCTTGAGTTTCTTCATTAAAAGTGGATTCATCCAAATTTCTTGCAACATCACTATCTGAACGAATTTTACAGTGTCGGAAGCAATTCGCTATTGTTTCTTTTCGAACATCTATCGTCCAAGCTGGGATTGCCAAATTGATAGCATCAAGGACATTTATCTTCCCTGCATCAGATTGTCCCACCTCATAACTTTCCAATATTTTGCGGTAAAACCTTCTACGGTAATGCATCTTGAAAGCTCTTATTATCCCAGCATCGCAAGGTTGAATCTTGGATGTCATGTTGGGTGGCAAGAAGAACAACTCAACGTTTCTTAGCCCTTCAATATTTCTTGGATGTGCTGGACAATTATCCACCACAAGTAGAACTCTTCTACCATGCATCATTTGGTCAAATGAACGAACATATTCATCAAAAAGCAAACTAGTCATCCATGCTTTTTTGTTAGCTCGATACTGACAATTCAATCTATTCATGTTGACATTCTTGAAGCAACGAGGCTTTGCATATTTCCCAATAATTCATAGAGGGATTTTTTCAGAGCCATCTTCATTGCAACAAATAACTACCATTAGCCTTTCTTTATTTTGTTTTCTTCCTTCAAATTGTTTTGTTGCCAGTGAATGATCAGCTTGTAGCTTATAAAACAACCCAGTTTCATCCATATTAAAAACATCTTTCATAAGGAACTAATCAATTTTCTCCCGAATCGATACCAATTTCTGCTCCATGTCTTGTATATCAACAGACTCACTCTCGCCAAAATGACGAAATGACTTTATGCCATGTCAGTGCTTGAATTTCCCAAGCCATCCTATAGAGAAGTTAAAATCTGAATCATCATGAAGGTACACGAGTTTCATTGTATCTCTTGCCTTCTGCAAAATTAATTTTCCTGTGATATTCACACGTTCTTGATGTTGGAGAAACCACTCATAAACAACCTTCTCTATGTCAGGATATTTTGCTGGTTTGTGTCTTTTGATCTCTGCTCTTCCCTTTTCTATTTTAGCAGAGAGATAGTCAGCTGACCGCTTAAGTGTGTTTGATATTGTTCCTTGACTAACTTTCAACTGAAATTTTCCCTCAAGCCATCTCTGCAAGTCTTTTTGTGTGCTTGCAGGATTATCTCTCTTATACTCACACAACTCCTTACGTATTTGATCTGACATAGTTAATTTTGCAACACCTTTTAGATGAGAAGTCATCTTGTGAGATATGGTTTGAATACTCTAACACATTCATGTAATTTATATATGCCAAACTTGCTTAAGAATACATTGAACACATTTGTTCCTCTTGTTTACATTTACTGTACTTCAAAAGTCATTATTGATTTCCAATGCATATGTAGTGTAGTTACTAATTTACTGTACGTTGAGTCTCAAAGTTCGCTACAACGTAATTCTAAGAGGCATAGATTAATTTGCCTTTTTGTTTGGTATGTACAGTATAATTACTTAAAAATTCTTTAAATTAATAATTATTAATTTATCGATAAATTAATAACTCTCTAAATTAATAAATTTCTCCGGTTCTGACATTATTAATTTAAAGAGTTTCTATTGTATATAGATACTTTAAGCCCTTTCAAACACACACACAACAAAACTTTTTAAGGGATAAAGACAACGATTAAGTTATAATTCATGTAACTGCGGAGTAAACATTCAGGTTCAATCTTTATCCATTTAAATACAGAGTAACCAATTGATTTGTATTATCATTAAGGATTTAGATTCTTTTACACATATTTTAAATTCAGTTATGTTAAGAAATTAACAAATACAAATTTTTTATTCAAATTTATCGGTTTCATAATATCTTACTATTTTTATTAAAAAATTATTATGTACAAAATTTTATTGTGTCTTGACAGGTGTTAGAAAATTTATTTTAAATTTTGTTTTATTAGATTTTGTTAGAAAAAATTGTTAAGAAAAACTATTTTATTGTATCTCCTTGACACGTGCTAAAAAAATTATTATGTACAAAATTTATATGTATTTTATTATTAGAAATAATATTGTATTATATTAAATAACAATAAATTAAAGAAAAATTATAATAATCAAAATAACATATAAAAATTTTAAATTTAAATTTAATTTAAGATAGATTAAGATTACAATAAATATAATATATTAATATTCCACACATTTAAAAATATACAATAATGTTATAAACATAAAAGGTCACGTTACCTAGTGAGGAAGTGGATAAATATTTAGAATATTTTTTCTTAAATAACTCTTAAAAATGCTTGTATTTACAAACGAAGACAGATTTTTTAAAATAAAAAACTAAAAATGTATTGCGTGAGATTTAAAATGATTAAGTTTAAAAAGAATAAATATTTTTTATTTTAAATAAAAATAATTAAATCATAAAAAATTATAAAATATTCAAAATTATAATTAAGACAATCATAAAAGGTTATTTGTTTTGTTATGATTTATCAAAGGTAAAGATTCAAATATAAATATAAATATAAATTAATTAATAAATAAAATAATATATTTATTATTGTATATGATTAATTATTATAACATAATAATAAATAAATATTTTATTTATATTAATTATATGTTTACATAAAAATAATATTTTTTGTATTTAATAAATTAATTTATAATAATTTAATTTTAAAAGTACTATCAACTATTTAACAACAATAATTAAATTTTCAAATTTAAAAGTAAAAAAATAAAATTTTAATGTGAAAATTTCAGTACAAAAATATTTAATAATATATATTTAGAATTTTCATGTTATTAATTATCTATATTGTAGTGTTGATAATATAAAATCTTTTTTTTATTTGTATTAAACATATATTTAATAAAAACATTAAAACTTACTTAAATTAAAAATATTAAATGATTTTAATAAATTATATTTATGATATTTAAACATAATGATTGATATTTTAAAAGAAATAAGTTGGTATGTTATAAGTTTAATATTTTAAAATATAACTAAAGATGTAATTTATGAAAATACTTCTAAAAAATAATTTCTTATTATTAATTATCTATATTAAATTGCTAATAATATAATTTTTTTATTTATATTAAGCATATATTTAATAAAATATTAAAAACTTAATTATACAAAAAAGATTAAATTATTTTAATAAATTATAATTATGTTATTTTAAAAATATATTCACTGTTATTTTAAAAGAGTTAAGATAATATGTTATAAATTTATTTTTTAAATATAAATAAATATGTAATTTGTGAAATTGCTTCTAAAAAATCAATATATATATATATATATATTAAAATAATATTAAAAATATATTAAAAAACTAATCGTACAAAATTAAACTAGTTAATAATTTATGTAATTTACAAGAAAGATATTATATATCTAGCATTTGTCCTCAACTATAGTCTCTATAGTATAATAAAGCAAAAAAAAATCAGCTATATTATTGCAAAATTATGTTAAAAAATTAATAAATACAATTTTTTTTCACCCAAAGTTATCAATTCTGTGATATTTTGTGATTTTTATTAAAAATTGTTTATGTGTAAAATTTTGTTGTATCTCCTTGACACGTGTTAAAAATTATTTTAAAATTTATATATTTTTTATTATGGTACAAATATTTTTGTAATATATAAATTTATAAATAAATTAATATGTACTTTTATTATTAGAAATATTATTGTATTATATTCATTTCAATCATTTTTATAAGAAACAAAAGACTAAATCACCAGATCGAAAAAAGTAATTAATTATGTTATGTTTTTTATAAATATAAATTTTATTTTAAAAATATCCATAACATTAAATGGTATAATTAGTAATTTGTATATTTAATGATATTAATAAAAGAAAGGTATAAAAAGAATTTAATAATTAATGTACCTTAAATCTATTATTTGTTTTTTATAATAAGGAGAAAAAAATATTACATTTTATTTCTTATAAAAAAGACCGAATGAAGTGTTAAATAACAGTAAGTGTGTTTCGTTGTTTAATGGCCCAGAATGTCACTCTGTTTTGGCCTAAATGCTTGCACTTGCAACCTTGTTATAACTTCTAATAAGCTTTGTTGTCAGGTGGTAAAGGAGTTAAGAACGACTAATAGTTAGATACGAGGGTACTTTCCAGCAATTCTTCAAGCAGTGTGTTGAACTTCGCTGCTAACGTCTCTAAACATATACACAGTAATAAAGTTTAATTCTGGTCATTTGTTTGACACTCTTTCCCTGGTCTCACTTCATGTTTGAACAACTTCCTTAGCGTCATTGTGGGTAATTGTACTTGATATTTTTCCATTTTATTTACTTCTCCATTAGAGTCGCCAAATGTTTCAGTAGACTTTTTCAAAGAGAATTACAGGAACAATAATC